CAGCAAAAGAGATGGGGCACCTGGGTGGCTCAGTCATTGGGCATCTGCCTTCAGCTCAGGTCATGATGCCAGGGTCCTAGGGTCAAGTCCTGCATTGGGCCCCTTGCTTGGTGGGAAGGCTGCTTCTCCCTCTCCCACTCCACCTGCTTGTGTTTCCTCTCTCACTCTCTCTCTCTGTGTCAAACAAATAAATAAAATCTTTAAAATAAATAAATAAAACTATAGCGAAAGAGATAAATATGAACAAAACAGTATTTCTTTTTTTTCCCCCAAAGATTTTATTTATTTGACACAGAGAGAAAGAGAGAGGGAGGGAGAGCAAGTTCAAGCAGGGAGGAAGGGCAGAGGGAAAGGGAGAACCAGACTCTGCTGAGCAAAGTGTCCAAGCTATCACTGGGCTTGATCCCAGGTCCCCAGGATCATGACCTGAGCCAAAGGCAGCTGTTTAACAACTGAGCCACCCAGGCACCCCAGAACAGTATTTCTTTCTTTAAAAACTGGTCTTTTAGGGGCGCCTGGGTGGCTCAGTGGGTTAAAGCCTCTGTCTTCGGCTCAGGTCATGATCCTAGGGTCCTGGGATCGAGCCCCGCATCGGGCTCTCTGCTCCGCAGGGAGCCTGCTTCCTCCTCTCTCTCTCTCTCTGCCTGCCTCTCTGCCTACTTGTGATCTCTGTCAGTCAAATAAACAAATAAAATATTTAAAAAAATAAAATAAAATAAAAATAAAAATAAAAACTGCTCTTTTAAAAAAAGGCAATTACTTTTTAAAAATTACTTTAAAAAGTAAGAATAAAAAGGCAATACTTTGCTTTTTTCATAATATCTCCCTTACAATATGCTAAGGTTTGAAAAATAATGTACAAAAATATTTCTTGCATATAAATAGATGAAGAAACCAGTAAGATAGTAGAACTTTAATTTTAATGTTTCTTTACACTTAGATCCAACCAGATTTGAAAAATTACTTATGTTTGCTATTGACACCGCCCAACATTATCTGTACTATCCAGAGAGAACGCATAGACATCATCACCTCTTTCCAACATCCAGTCAGAAATTACTATTCCTTCTTTCTTGACAGTATCTATTACACATGGTCTTTCTTTTCCATTTCCACTGCTACTACTGGGATTAAATTCTGATTACTTCAAACCTAACAGCTCCTACAACCTTCTGGGCTCCCTGACTCCTCATTCCATTTCTCTAATGATATACATTCACAAATCAATGCTAGCACAATTTCCATAAAGTAAAGTTTTATGTCACACTTCCTACCCTCTCCAAGATCTCTACTATATTCTTAGGGAAATATTCACTTTCTATCAATCAGCTTCTCTAGAAATACCTTTTAATTCTTTCTTTACCTACCCAAATTCTACTCATCTTCCAAAACCTCAAATAATCCCTCCTATGTTCTGTCTATACTTCTAAGTGCTATAGAACCCTGATTAAGAAGTAATGATTTACTCTTCTGGCATTTATCACTTTTACCTGGCAGTGTTGGTTATCATTACTCATATTACTTACACACATACCTTACAGGATACAACTAGAAACAGAGGACGGGGACCACGTTCTTTGTTTTTTCTGATTTCTCCTTTGTGACTTGCCGTTACATAGTTTAACAAGGACCAAAATAAGTAATACCCTGCAGAACAAAAGTAAGTGCTCTGAGGCCTTAAACTAGGAAGGAACATTTCTTACAGTCAAAAGAAATATAGATCGGGGGGGGGGGGCGCGCCTGGGTGGCTCAGTCAGTTAAGTGACCGGCTCTTGATACTGGTTCAGGTCATGATCTCAGGGTCGTGAGATCAATCCCTGTATCAGGCTCCACACTGGACATGGAGACTGCTTAAGATTCTCCCTCTCCCTCTCCCTCTACCCATTCCCTTCACCTCCAGCACTCATCGCATGTACTCACTTGCTCTTAAAAATACACCTATAATATTTATATATTATTAAATATTAAAATATTTTATTTTAAAATATTTTTATTAATTTTTTTATTTTTAAAATTTCAAATATTTAAAATTTTGAAAAATAAATAAAAAGTTTAAATAAAATTTAAAATGTTTTATTAAATTTTTAATCAAATTTTTATTTTTTGGTATTTTAATATTTTAATAAATATTATAAAATGACATTTACATATTTTATATAGATATACAGTTATAGATCAGAAAGGACCTCAAGAATTGGCACTTGAGGTGGGTCTTTAAAAGTTGACAGGCCTTCCACAAGAAAGAAAAGTGGAAAAAGCATGTCAGGAGAAAATAATATGAACAGAGAGCAGAGAGAAATACAAGGCAATTTCAAATTACAGGCAGAGGGGTATCATACACACATGCAGGGGTACAGAAAAAGAAAATTAAACACCTGCTAAATAACCAATGTTAACAGGTTTTTATAATTTCAGGTTAAGGTCATCCCTACCTTAATCAAGAGCCTCATTATTTCTCGCTTGAAACAATTAAGAGAATCCTACTTGTCTCTGCTTTTGGGATCTGTCTCCCCCTTCCAAACTATCATCCATATCACTGCCAGATTAATTTTAAAGATTTTATTTATTTATTTAAGAGAGCCAGACAGACAGAGATAGTGAGAGAGAGCAAGAGCAGGGAGGTGAGGGAGAAGCAGGCTCCCCACTGAGCTGGGAGCCCATCGTGGGGCTCCATCTCAGGACCCTGGGATCATGACCTGAGCCAAAGGCAGACGCTTAACCAACTGAGCCACCAGGCGCCCCTGTCAGATTAATTTTAACAGAACAAAATTATGATCCTGAAATGCCTCTGTTAAAATTTTTTAGTGACTGCCAACTATTAACAAAATAAAGCCTGAACTCCCTACCATAGCATTTGGAGTTCTTCACAATGAAGATCTCTTCCTGCCTTGTCCCTCGAAGCCTCTCTCATATCCTGAATTCAAGCCGTACAATGATTTCTCCTGTCTTTTGTACAGTAGATACATCTCAAGCTTCCCTTCCTTATGTTGGGTTCTGTGCACGCAATTCTCTCACCTCCCAAATTCCACTCAGCAATCTTTCACTCATCTTTCAAGACACAACTCAAGTATCATTTCCTATGTGAAGCCTCCCTGACAATACTCTCTAACAGTGCTGAAGCTCTTGTAGGTGTTGCCTAACACACTTTTTCAATTTCATATGGCACTTTTCCAACTGCACTTGAATCAGCTGTTTGCATACTCACCTCTAAGCAAACTACCTCAAGAACAAAAGCAAGGAACCCATTTCACCGAACATTTTGTATCCTCAGTGCCTAACATAGTGCCTGGCATAGTAGGTATTTAGTAAGTGTTTAAAGGGAGAAGGAAATGAATGGATCCACGCAAAGGTTATTATTCACTTAAAGCTATACTGTTCAGAGACTTTTACCACTAAAGTAGTTTGTCCTTACTTCGGCAGGCCAAAAAAGAGTCCCTGACAGTACATGCAGAATTATCTTTCAGAAGATTTCAGCTGGCAATAACATGGAGAGGGAAACGGAACAAAAAGAGGCACAAAGCTGGGAGAGCCAGGCAATATTTCAGGAGAAATGTTAACAGAAAGGCCTAACCTAGGATGCTGATGGGGGGACTGGAAAAGAGAGGAGGGAAACATTCACGGCACATTATAGAGATTAAGGGATGGTACTGGATCTCTGACTGAGGGCAGGAAGGAAAAAGCGAGGAATGAGATTCGGCACTGAGACTGAACGTGGGTGACAGAGAGAGGTCCAGTAACAGGTGTGGGAACCCTGGTGTGAAGCAAGCAGCTGGAAATATGGGACTGAAAGTTAGAGAGAGGGTCGCAACTGAGATGTAAGGTTGAGAGAGATCACTTTAGAGGTGACTGTTGAAATGAGATTAGGAAAAACATAAAGAAAAAGATAAAAGCTTGTGGATGTTGTTACTTAAGAGTAGCAGGAGGGAAAAGAGAGAAATTATGAAGGAGTAATTAAAGAAGTAGAACTAGAAGAACACAGGGTCACAGAAACCAAGAGAACTGCAAAAAAGGGAAAATGACAGCTACTACAGTGATCAAAGAGTATTGAGCCTAATAAGAGACAATTAAAAAATCATAAGTATTTTTCAAAAGAGCAAAGACACCAGTGGGGCAGGGTGAGAAAAAAGAGTGCCTGCTCAGGAAGCAGCAGCAGGGAGCAAAGCCAACTACTCCAGGAGGAGAAAGTATAGACTGCTTCACAGTGTATGTCCTAGTCATTTTTCTATAATAGAGATCCCTGAAGAATTCAAACCTTTTACCTGATAATCTGAGTCTGCAAATGGACTGAAAATAATGAACCTGACTTCCCCGTACATATGGTCTTAGAATGGCTTCTTCTCCCCTATCCCTGGTGTTACTGCAGTTCCTGCTTCTTTAAATAAATTCAATCTCCAAAGAACTATATTTTAATACATTTTTATTCTTAAGTCTATAATGTGTAAAAGTTTCAAAATAATATAAATATCCATTTTTAATACAATCCATCATTCTGAACTCTGCTTGGTCATCTTTAGAGGGAATAAATATATCTCTATATATCATCTAATGCTTATTTTCTATAATTAGAGTGAAGGAAGTGATATCAGTAATAAATAAGTACCTTTTATTTCTGAAGAGGTTCAACATTTATAAGAAGAGAAAAATATATTAGATCTACTTATGAACTCATAAGGAGTCATTAAAGAAACTAAAGAAGCTAAAATAAAGTTGCAGCAGTAATACATACAGAAGGACTATTTTCAATTTTTTTCTTCCTTCCAAGATTTTATTTACATTCATGTCAGTTAACATAAAGTGTGGTACTGGTTTCAGGAGCAGAATCTGGCGATTCATCACTTACACACAACACCCAGTTGCTCACCTCAACACGTGCTCCTCTTCTTCATGCCCATCTCCCATTTAGCCCATCCACCCTCCCACCTTCCCAGACTATTTTCAATTGTTAACAAATGAAAATATTCATATTATTCTAGTTATTTTCTTAAAAGTCTTCTTCTTACCTCAGAGATGTGGCTAGATAAAACTGTACTTCCAGTTTTCTCCAAACTGCTTTGACCTATGCTTCCATCTCATGAATTCCAAGACAGTATTAAACTGATGCATATTTTCATAAATCTGTTTTTAAAAAAAAAGGAACTAATTTAGACTAAAAGAAACATGCAAAAGCAATACTGAACATTTGTCAGGTGTAAAATTATACATTTTCAACGTAAAGCCAATGAAAATTCTAAAGTACTTTAATATGTCACTTTACCATTTTCCCAACCTCTACCCAAAGAAGTTTCCCATTTTGCATACTTTCAACTTCACAAATGTAACAATAGCTCTGTGGAAAAAATTACTTGCATGTAAAATTTCTATATTTGCTTGAAAAAACATGAACAGCTAGAAGCAGCACTAAAATGTACAATTCTATGATATTCAAATTCCTGCTTAGGCAAAAATATATTTGGCCACCCACCTAATATCCCTATTTTCACTTTTTAATCACAAAATCTCAGTAAGCAGTTTTAATTTCAGTCAACCTTCTACCTAGAATATTAAGGACTGGAGGGGTCAGGAATTAATGGCACTGCATGATCTAAACCCAGGGGATAGGTTACAACTATGTTACCACTGACATTTAGTTCCCCTGCTTTAAAACAGGGAGTTCAAAAATCTAAAAGAGGGAAACAATAAAAGAATTTTAATTTAAAAAGGTATGTTGTTTACTTAGAGATTTTAAAAATAATTTTATTGAATCTATTTTTAACTGAAACTTCAAATAGCAAAGTATTGTTTCATATTCTAAAAAGGAAAAATTTTAAGCTGTATGAATACTACCTATGTCCCACTGCAAGGTCAAAATGCCTTTGTCTTCAAGTCCATTTAGAAGTATCACTTGTGTCACACTGAGGTTTAGTAGTCTTGGCAATAATGACTGAATTCATGTAAACTGGGGCAATCTGAAACGGTCTAGCATATCAGATAGCAGCCTTTCTTAAAGACAAGAGTCTCCACTCAGCAGACAGGCTGCCATAGGACCATGCTAAATCTTTCATGGTCCAACTAAAGACAGACTGACCCTGAAAGCAATTAGTAATGCTTTGTCTGCACTTAGGAGCCTTAAATAGTCTTCTCAATGCACCAGTTACCCACAACTTAACTGGTCTGTAACATTTTTCAGGGTACTCACAGGACTATAAAACTCTTAGACCATCACTCAGAGAAATGAGGGCAGGAATGGAGATGCGGTGTTTAGTGATTTTTTTTTCCCTGAGATGTTCACAGTCTTAAAACATTTCCCTTTTATAATCAAAAAATAAATGCACTGTGTTTTCATGTTAGAAATGACAAATATCTTCCTCCAAAGCCACTCTTTGCCAATAACACTATTCTTCCCTAACAGTATATGTGAAGAAAAGAGGGAAGGCAATCACTATATTAAACAAAGTTCAGATTAACCCATCCTCATAAAGGTTAAAGCAATCCATCAAAAGACCGTGTTTAAAAAAATATGGCCCGGGGCACCTGGGTGGCTCAGTCGTTGAGCCTCTGCCTTCGGCTCTGGTCATGATCCTGGGGTCCTAGAATTGAGCCCCATATAGGGCTCCCTGTATGGCAGGGAAGCCTGCTTCTCCCTCTCCCACTCCCCCTGCTTGTGTTCCCTCTCTCACTGTGTCTCCCTCTGTCAAATAAATAAATAAATCAATCTCTCTCTCTCTCTATATATATATATATACACAGACACATACATGGCCCGATTCTAATTCTACCAGTTATTTCTAATGGATCAGATAAAATTAACATGTAAACCATCTAACCATTGTTTACCATGGACTACTTATTACAACAATATGAACTTGTGTTAACAACCACAAAGATCTAGTCAAAACCGAACACTAAACAAGTATAATAATATTTTTATCAAAGATTTTGTGTCTAAAACTTTCAAGCCCATTAGTTCTAGAAAACACATTAAGGAAAAGGTAACTCTTTTGATAATACATTGGGTCTTCTGAAAAACAGAATAAGTGAAAAAATCAAACCTTTCCAGATATATTCTAGTATTTTATAATTGAGCTAACATCAGAATTTTCTCAAAGTTCATAAGTATTTGTAAACAAACAAGAAAAGTGTATTTTAGTCCCACGTTATCTTTACAAAATATCTTTATTTGCCATCAAGATGTACAATCCTTCTTGGTTTTCAAAATTAGTGAAGTCATTATTTAAACCACCAAGGTACTTAAAAGCTCATTAACCATACAGAACCCATCAGTGACAAACATCAACTGTGGATATTTCAGTTATCTCTCACTCGGAGGTGCTGGAATACCCCCATTCACTTCTATATTAGTAAGATTTGCTTTATAGAAAAGAACAATGTACATATGATTTGATAAATATGCTAGTCTAAGACAAAACTCAAGATTACTTTTGAGTTTGTTCCAGATGTCAAAAAGTAGTCATTTCCTAGTAGTCACAAACTCAGCAATACTGACTGCATACTTTTTCTTTCCACCACTCCAAATACTCTCCTCCTCAACTGCATTTCTCCTCCCTAAGCACACACAAGAAGTACCACAAATACCATACAAGTATTGCTGTTAACACTATCACTGCATTCATATAATGCTTTTAAAAAATCAGAACCAAACTACAGAATACTTGACAAAACATCCCAGCTGGGCTCTTAAACTAAAGGCATTACTGTTAAAAGTTTGGGTACATTAAACTGGAAAATTCAAACATCATGCCTCAGAAAATGATAACACAGTTTTAGCTGTAAGTAATTCAAGCGAACAGTATAATTTAGGCTTATCATGCACTTCTATAATAAAGCAGGTAACACAGAAAGGGAGGGTCAACTTATGGACGGGTTATGTTCTAAAAGATCACTTATAAATTGAATGTAAGCTTGATTTTGAAACTTAAGATGCCTTTCTCATAAAACCAAAGACATAAACAATAATATTAAACCAGTAATACAAATGAATTACAGTACACAATTCTCATCACAGCACTCTAATGCTTACACATATTTCCATACCAAACTTTAAATTTTTATTCACTGTTGTAATCCCAGAATCTAGCATAGCTGATGACACAGTAGGATTTCAACAAATACTGGCGATCTCAAGTACTGAACAGCAACAACTCAATGATATGAGAAACTGGCTTGTCTAGAAAACTTACCTATCTTAATTATATCAGACAACCAAAAGACAAGGGGAAAAAGCTTCTTCCAAAAGAGATAGGTGAAAAAGATTCTTAACACCAGGGTGAGAAGACTCTGATCTAAGCCAGTTGTGGCAATTTCCATTCTTCCTGCCAATCGGTAGTTTTGTTATAGAGCATCTGACGCAATTCCAGTCAGTAAGACAAGAGACTAAGTTTGCTAGGAAACTAAGCACTGGGAAAAGTGTTTCTGGGAAAGGTTTTATGCCTAATAAAAAAAGACATCTAGGTGAAAACATCCTCTCCATCACCTTTTTTCCCAGGGAACTCTGGGTTTGAATGTGTCAAGTAGCATGATGGCAGCCATCAGAACCATGAGAAGATGACAGCCTAGGAGGACAACCCAACAGATTTAGAATGGCTGCATTAAGACAGAAAGAATCTGGGTCTTTGATGCTGTTGTTATGCTTGAATAAATCCTAAAATGATATCATTACACTGGACCTTTTTATTATATTACATTAAATCCTTTTAACCAGTTTTCAATTACCAAAAGTAACCCAGCAAATACCGTGATTCAGAAACCAATACACCATTTGCTTCCATAAATTCAAATGTTATATTTATACAATAAAATAATAACTCACCTAAATTTATATCACAATCCAGATGCTTCTTTTGAACTAGATACATACTCTTGAAGTACTAAATATTAGAAGAAACCAATCAATCAACATATCCAAATCAAACAATCAAAATACGGAATTCCACAGAGACAGAAAATAGATTAATGGTTGTCTGGGATTGGGGGTGGAGGGTGGGAATGGAGAAAGACACCAAAATGATGATCCACAAAAGGAAAAAAGGGGGCAAATTAGAATTCATCAAAATTAAAAATATCCTTCTGCAAAAGGCCCTGTTAAAAAGATGAAAAGACAAGATACAGGATGGGAGTCAATGTTTTCCAGCCATACATGCGACAAAGAACCCAACTAGAATATACCAAATCTCAAAATTCAAAGTTAAAAAAAAAAATCACCAAGAAATTGGGCAAAAGAATATGAAAAGAGATTTCACTGAAGAAGATATCTGGATGGCAAATCAGTATATGAAAAGCTTAACAACACTAGCCATCAGGGAATTGCAAATTAAGACCCCACTGAGATACCACTACACACCTACTGGAACAACTAAAATAAAAAACAGTGACAATACTAAATGCTGGCAATATGAAGAAAGTGCAGCTTTCAGACATTGTTGGTGAGAATGTAAAATGGCACAACCACTTTGGAAAATAGTGTGGAAGTTTCTTTAAAAATGAAATACACACTGACATGTAACCAAACACGCTTGGGGTTGCAAAGAAATAAACATGAATATTAGCAGCAGTTTTATTTTTAATTGTCAAAAACTGGAGAAAACAAAACGTCCTTCAAAAGGTGAATGGTTAAACAAACTGTGGTGCAACCACACAACAAAATTCTACTCAGTAATAAAAAGGGATAAACTAGTGACACACAAAACAACTTGGGTGAATCTCAAAGGATTAGTCTGAGTGCAAAAAGGTCATATACTATATGATTCCACTTACAAAACACTCTCAAAATGACAAAAATCATACAGATGATGGGGGACACGTGTATGTGCAGCACAAGGGAGACCTTCGTGGTGACAGGATCTATGTCTTGATGCTGAGGTGGTTAAACAAAATTTAAATGTATGTTTAAATGGCACAGCGCTATACATATAAAATGAACCAATGTCAGTTTCTGTTTGGACATTACATCAAGTAGCATTAAGTAACCACTGGAGGAAGGTGAAGGGTATAAGGGACCTCTCCTTACTATTTTTGCAATTTCCTATGAATCTATAATTACTTTTAAGTAATTAAAAAAATTTTAAACCCTATTTCCTAAAAATGTTTTACCTCTGCTTTAAATTAGATTTTGAATAACA